TACAACAAAACAGCTATCAAGTAAGAATTACAGTTATAATCCAGTCCATTTGTATTTGACAAAACTAGAGAAAATACTCTTTTTTACCTATCTTATCTTGGTGAGTCTAAATTTACCTTTTAATAATAACTAAGAAAAGCTATAAGTCTAACTATCTAGTTTTCAACTCCATCAAAGATCCCAGAAGTGTGAAATGCTACCTAATTACAGGGACATCTGGCTGTCTGTACAGTCCCCCTAGGTTCTTCTGTAATGTTAGGACATCCATCTTTGACCAACAGGTCTAGTATATCTGACAAACATTTCTGAGAAGTAGGAGAGAGAGAGAGAGAGAGAGAGAGAGAGAGAGAGAGAGAGAGAGAATAGGCAGATAGGCAGAGTCAGGGAGACACCGTGTAGCTGTTGAAGAAGACAGAAAGAAACCTGGGAACCTTACCAGTAAACCATGAGCCTCATGGTAAAATATAAAATAATAGAAATGGGTTAATTTAAGATGTAAGAGCTAGCTAGAAATATGCTTAAGCTATTGGCCAAAGAGTACTGCAATAATATAATTTCTGTATGATTATTTCAGGTCTGAGTGGCAGGAAACAAACAAGCAGTCTCCATCTTCAAAATGGTGCCCATGGGCTGATTACATCCACATAAAACCCGAGAGAGCTTAAAAAGGAATTCTACACACACACAAACAACAACAACAACAAAAACAAAAAGAAAAACAAAGTTTAGCACAGCTTCGTAGCCGCATTTTTTTTTCAGATGGGCTCTGTTTGTTGGCGGTGAGCAGGGGCACCATGGCACCTTTAAGAGAGGTCTTTCTGACTCAACACTGGCAGCAAGGGCTGTGCAGCTTCTTTACAGAAGAGTTTCCTGGTTCGTGCTGGTTGCATGAACAGCTCTGGCTTTTTCAGGAAACTGAGCACTTAAATGGGGTCTGTGAGCAGCATATTACAAATTGCTTAATGGTGACAAAGACCTGCTGTGGCCCTAGAGCTAAGGCGGTGTGCATGGCTCTCAAGGGCAGTGAACATGCCTCTGCCATGTTGGACTGAATGGAGCCAACAGGCAGGGCCAAAGAGTTGGTCCTAGCCATGCCTGCTTAGCATTTAAAAGAAAAGAAATTGCTCCTGGTTAAAAAATAATTACAGATATGCAATAAAGACTGACTCAGACAAAAACAAACCTCTAAATGGGTCATAGTTTGTTGAAAAATGTATCTAGGCTTGGGAGAGAGAGGAAAAAGAGTATAGACAGTTATAATATAAAAGAGTATAGTCAGGGGCTGGAGAGATGGCTCAGCAGTTAAGAGCATTGTCTGCTCTTCCAAAGGTCCTGAGTTCAATTCCCAACAACCACATGGTGGCTTACAACCATCTGTAATGAGATCTGGTGCTCTCTTCTGGCCTGCAGGCATACATGTAGACAGAATATTATATACATAATAAATAAAAAATATTTTAAATAAAAGACTACAGTTAGTCATAGGTTAAAGGAATAAAGATAATAAAATAAATACTTAACTTATAAAATGTAATAGAGTAAGAAAAATAAGCCACATAAAGATGGAATATACACAGAGAGTCTGGATTATGTATATTATTATGCTTTCTTTGAATTTTTTGACTGTGAATCAGCTAAGTACAGAGAGATTTCATTGTATGGGCTGTTAAGCTAAACCAACATATATATTTTAAAGGTATCTTGACTTCAAAATTTGGGTCTAAGGATATGTTGCTTTGAAAAAGAGGTTCTGCTTTTGTTTTCACAGAGCTTAGAAAGCTGTGTGTTCCTTATGGTTTAATCAAACAAGACCCGCTGAAGCAATGGCTCAGATGGTCCAACATCCATGATGGCCTCAGGACTGCTGGGTGAGATGGACCTACCACACAGGATACCCATGAAAGACCTGGTTAACAGTGCCCCCAGTCAGCAGGAAATAGTCTAGAGAACAACGCCCAAATTCCCTAAATGGTTGTGTATAAACATTTGTTTACATTTAAAGGGGAATATGATATAGAGATGAATACTTTGCATTGGTATGGATCTTGGTTGATTGATACAAGTTTAAGGTCAATTTTGTTATATGTATATTTCTGCTCCTGATTAAGGTGTTTGTGCAGCTCATAAAAATGTAATGTGTAATTAAGAAATACAGGTTAATAGAATGTCATCTATAATAGTCAAACTATAGTTAAGTTAGTTAGGTTTTCTCAGTATACAGTGATAGATTTCAGATAGATAGGTATTCTTCAAATCTTTCAAGGTTGTACAGACTATGACATTTAAAATGTTTTAAGAACTTAGGACTTTTCTGAACAATGAGACACATCTGCTCCTGGCAGTACCAATTTACTTCAAGAGGATAATGAACATCGAAGAGGCTCCTTATGGAGTTTGTTAGTCATTTGGGCAAGAAACTGCTCTTTCCTGGACTGCTTGATGGTATGCTGTATGAACTGGACATGCGGGAACTACAGAAAAATGACTGCCGAACTTGCCTAAAGGTGAGACAGTCTTTCAGGGCTCCTGCTTCATGAAAGAGTCTGGTAGACATTCTGCAGGACACAGAAGAAAGTGACTGACAAACTGCCAATATGGGTGGAACTGTCTTTGAAATTTCTAGCTTCATGGAAAAGTCTGCTGGATGCTATGGGCCCGTAGTCTGAAGATGGATGCCCCAATGTTACAGAAGAACTCTGGGTGACTGTCCAGGCAGCGAGATGTCTCTGTCAATTCTAGAGTTTTGGAAGTTGCTTACAATGTACTTTCTGTTAACTTAGGTAATATTATGTCCTTCTGGGGTCTCTGATGGTATTGAAAAATAGAAAGTTATAATTATAGTTTTATTTAGCTATAATAAAAAGATAAAATATTGTAACTAATTCTTGCTTGATACTTATTTTGTTATATATAAGTTTACTATGTTAAAATTAAAATCTTTCTTTTTATTTAGACAGAAAAGGGGATGGGATTCCCTTCTGTATGCTGTGAATATGTTTTATTATCATTGTTTAATGAAGAAGCTTCTTTGGCCTGTGGCAGGGCTAGAGCTAGGCAGGAAAGCTAAACTGAATGCTGGGAGAAAGTAGGTGGAGTCAGAGAGATGCCATGTAGTTGCTGAAGGAGACAGATACCCTGGAACCTTACTGGTAAATCATGAGTCTCTTGGAAATATATAGAATAATAGAAATGGCTTAATTTAAGATGTAAAAGTTAGATAACAAAAAGCCTAAGCTAATAGGCCAAGCAGTGTTGCAATTAATACAGTTTCTGTGTTATTATTTCTGGTCTGGGTGGCCGGGAAATGAATGAGCAGCCTTTGTGCTACACATCTATTTTCATTGGTGTTTGGTCCCCTTGCTCTGAAAATACATAAACTTTTAAATGTAACATACATATCTGCATTAATACAAATATAGACTGTGCATTGTACATAAGTCAAGCCAAAGGTGATTTTTTTTTTTGCTATGTGTTTGAGTAGGTTAAATATACATCACGTGTCTTGTAGCTCTTTTAGGTTTATTTCTTTATTTTTGTAGCCAGGATTTTCAGGAGTTCTTCCTTGATCAAACCTGATTTTCTCTAACCTGATTTGAATCAAGGTCATCCTCCCCTGGAAAGGGAGTTCAAGGCTAGAAGAAGCTACAATAAGCCCTCACACATTCACAACCTCCACGACCAAAGAAATGATGTTATAAATTTTGTCACGTACCAGGATGAGGTGAACAATAAAGAACTCTGCTGGATGTGGTGGCTCTGGCCTGTAATTCCCACAGAAGGGAGGCAGGTATAGGATTACAGCAAGTTCAAGGCTAGTTTGGGCTATATATCGAGTCCCAGGACAGTTAGATTTACATAGTAAAACCATGTGTTAAAGAGCTGGGTAGTGGTGGTGCAGAGGCAGACAGATTTCTGTGAGTTCGAGGCCAGCCTGTCTACAAGAGCTAGTTCAAGAACAGACTCCAAAGCTACAGAGAAACCCTATCACGAAAAACTAAAGATCTGTCTCGTCTACAGAGAGAGTTCCAGGACAGCCAGGGCCACAGAGAAAAACTCTGTCTCAAAAACAAACAAACAAACAAACAAAAAAACAAAACAAAACATCCACCCCACAAAACCCACAAAAACCCAGACTGTGTGTTATGGTCTGAGAGAGCCCCAAATAAGACCAATAGCCACATATGCAATAACAAGAATACTTTCTTAATTCCAACGTTGGGGTGGCACTTGGCGACCACTTAAAATGGTTACAAGCTCCTTTTAAGGGAAGTTAGGGGAATTCCAGTGAGGAGGGATTGATCTGGGGCTGATTCATGGGAGAAAGATTAGTACTGGGACCTTCCAGAGGCAGAGTGGGGAAAGCCATCTTTAGTTATCAGGAGACTGGGGACACCTCGTAAGCCAGCAAAGGGGCTTTGGGGGCCTTCTGAGCCAGCAGAAGGCTGTGGTTTCTCTGAGGACCGTCTGTTTAGGTCTGTCCCATTTTAGGGACCCGAAACTCAGGCTTAGATTTCTGTCAGGCTACTAGGAGAGCTTAGTCTGCGGTTGCGCATGCCTTTAATCACAGTACTCGGGAGGTAGAGGTAGGTGGATCTCAGTGCAGCCTGGTCTACAAAGAGAGTTCCAGGACAGTCAGGGCTGTTACATAGAGAAACCCTGTCTAGAAAAACCAACCAACAAAAAACTTTAAAAAAAAAAAAAAGGTGATTTGTTCAGGGCCATACACTTGTGTTACTCACAAGCGGCTTAGTGTAGCTTTTACCGAACTAACAGTAATCACAACCTGAGCAACAGGAATCTTAAATAAAACTCTCAAGGATCCGGAACGGATATCTTGTGTTCTCAGCAAAATACCTATTAACCTGGAGCAGGTCGCTGACTACGCAGCAGTGCTCTGTGGGGCTTGTAGTTTTCTCAGTCGGAGACAGGGGCGCATTGCATGGCGGGAGATAGAGTCCTTTAAGGAAGACCAGCCCCGGAAGTCCTGCGGCGCAGGCGCACTGCACTCTTCGTAAGCGCGGGAGTATCGGTTTGCGGGCAGGGCTGTATTCGCTGGCTTGGTTTCCTGGGTGCGTTTGGCCTTTTGTGCTGCTATGGCTTTCAGCGTGGAGGTAGCGGGCGACCGGAGCGGAGGGGCTACCGTCCCCGCGGGCTGCCTGTAGGCGGGGTGCAAGGGTCCTCAGGGTCGCCGCGGCCTTCGCCTTCCTCCGTCGCCCGAGTCGCAGTGCCCACCGGGAGAATGGATTCGGCTTTCGAGAAGCGTCACCTCTGGATGTACCTGCAGGCGCTGGGCTTGGATCCGAGCTGGGTCGCCGCCGTGGGCGGGAAGATGTTGTCTCAAGCGCACCTCGGAGAGTAAGGAGACCCGGCCGTGGCTCGGTCCCGGGTGGCCGGTCACTGGCGGCAGAGCTCCGCGGCTGCCGGCCTGTGGCGGCCAGGGGTGCGGGGAACGCCTTAGGGTTGTCCTGCACGGCCTTTATGGGCTGCAGCTGGAGGGAAGCGCGGGGGAATTAGCATGCAGCGCCTTTTAAGTAGTTAGCTGTGGGTTTAACTTCGAATCGAGGAACCAAACAGTGTTACAGCTAGTAAAAAAAAAAAAAAAAAGTGGCATAGTATTAAGATGAAAATCAGAGGACGCCACCCTCTCTTTTGCCGCTTCTTTTATTGTGACTCAAAAGGAAATATTTTGTTTCTATTTGTGTTCTCTAGACCTGGGCTTCTTAGACTTCTGATTTCAGACCCTTTTTCCTCTTTGGAATTTGTTTTTTAATGATTTCTTTTTATTTATTTTAGCTGCATTGGTGTTTTGCTTGCATATATGTCTATGCGAAGGAGTCAGATCCCCTGCCACTGGAATTAGACAGTTGTGAGCTGTCTTGTGGGTGCTGAGAATTGAACCAGGGTCTTGGAAGTTTATTTAGGTGTCGATGTGCCGTGTTTTAATAAAATTCCAGACGGTTACACAGAGACATAGACCGCATTTTTTAACATCAAGCATTCTGTCAAAGGTGTTGATACTTAATCAGTAATCCATAATCCCAATGCTTGGGAGGCAGAATTGCTACAGGGTCGGGGCCGGCCTCCAATTCTAGACCAGCCATGACTACGTAGTGAGGCTTTGCCCCGACACTCGAGTCTCAACATTAGTCCGAAGACAGGCTATTTTTGATACTTAACACCCTGCCTGAGGCGTGATAGGAGGGATTCCGTTATGAAACTCTCGTGCCGCAGTAAAAGCAGGGAACTTGATAGTAAAAACATGGCCATTACAACATGCGGTAGTCTTGAGTCTGCCACGATGTTTCAGGTAGCTCTTGGGGCTGAGTGGTGGCATGCACAGCCCAGAGTGCGTGCGTGTTGTTTAGAGCCAAGGCCGTGGTGGTATTGTGTGGTGCATCATGGGCAGACACCACAGAAACTTCCTATTACCGGATGCATGTTCAGAAACATACTGTTCCATTTTTCAGGACCCTCACATTCATCTTTGCTTCCTTAATATATAGGGTTTTGCAACTTGAAGTTTCCAGAAACAGACTTGGAGGCAGTTGCGTTATGTTTCTCACCAAGGGCAAGAAGAACTTGGGATACCTTGGTTATCTTCCGTAGCCCCCATCTATCTGTTTTGTTTCTTTTTTCGAGACAGGTTCTTACTTTATAAATGTAGCTCTGGCTATCCTGGAATTCACTATATAATAAGAAGACCAGGCTGGCCTCAAAACTCACAATTATTCTGTCTCCTCAGCGCTGTGATTAAAGGTGTAAGCCCCTACACCCAGTTTGTTTTTTGAGACAGTGCCTTACTCTGCCCAGCTGGCCTTGTGCTTGTGATTATCCTCTTGTTTCTAGGTCTCCTGGGAGAGGAGTCAGAGAGACCGCCTGCCTCTGTCTCCCGAGTGCTGGAATTTGGAGGCGTTGTTTTCTCAGTCTTTAAATATATGTGTTTATGTGTGGAGTCAGTTCTCTCCTGCCACCGTGTGGGTCCCAGGGCTAGAACTCAGGTAGTCAGGCTTGGTGGCAAGCACCTTTCCCTGCCGAGCCACCTAAACAAAGCACTACATATGCTAACAGTAGTAACTCCTAAACAGCCAAATCAAATCAAACCTAATTACAACTTTGAGGGCTAATGTTGTGTCACATTTACTTAAAAACAATAAATTTTATTCACATATACGGCAAACTTTGTTTGTTATTCTATGAATTTGTAGTTTGTGTGGGCATATATTTGTGTAACCACTGTTCTTATAAATTTGAACATACTGAGCTAACCTAGTTGTTCTAGTCCAAGGTGTTTGTCTCAAAGACTTCATTTTGAAAGTCTCGTGAGTTTTGTTAGCGAGTGGAATAAAGGGGAAGTAGAGTTGCATAATTATCCCCGTTTGAATAAATTGACAGGTGGAGGTGATACATGTGTTCATCTTACAGCTACTTGTTGAGTGCAGTGTCCCACTGGGATATTTTTGGGAAGGGGCATTTTTTTTAAGCGTCTCTAGATTGAAGTTTTGTATGTAAAACGAGGACAGTCAAATTATTGAACTAATACAGCTTAAGAAAATAGTATAGTACTTCGAAGAATTCAGGATAAATTGCTCCATGTAAAAGTGATAAAATAGGGCTGGAGAGATGGCTCAGAGGTTAAGAGCATTGCCTGCTCTTCCAAAGGTCCTGAGTTCAATTCCCAGCAACCATATGGTGGCTCACAACCATCTGTAATGGGATCTGGTGCCCTCTTCTGGCCTGCAGGCATACACACTGACAGAATATTGTATTCATAATAAATAAATAAATATTTTTTAAAAAAAGTGATAAAATAATGTCTGACAAATACCAAGTTCTCAAAAATGTTAGCTGCTGTTATGCTACTTAGTAAAGTCAGTCAGTGCTATCTTCATCATGTCAGGGCGTATTCTCTTCCTATTGATCAGCTTTTCTGTCCCTTTATGTTTAATGGTTCATAGCAGTAAAGCAAGTGCTAGTTTTCTATTTGGATATCTGTTTTTATAATCTGAAAATAAAAGCTTGTTTTTACTTTTCCAGACAGGGTTTCTCTATGTAACAGTCCTAGCTGTCCTGGAACTCTCTGTGTAGATCAGCCTAGCCTTGAACTCACAGAGGTCCTCTTGCCTCTGCTTCCCAAGTGTTGTTTTTTTTTAAAAATATTTGTTTATTATATATAGAATATTCTGTCAGTGTGTATGTCTGCAGGCCAGAAGAGGGCACCAGATCCCATTACAGATGGTTGTGAGCACATGTGGTTGCTGGGAATTGAACTCAGGACCTTTGAAAGAGCAGGCAATGTTCTTAACCTCTGAGCCATCTCACCAGCCCCCAAGTGTTGGTTTTAAAGGTGTGCGCCACCACCGCCTGGCTGTATGTTTTTTCTTAATGGAGTATAAAGTGTACCTAAAAGAGAAAAATTAATTCGCATTGACCTCCTGAAGAGAACGAACAATACCAGTTTGAGTGCAATGCTTAGTCAGTTTGATGCTGCATAGCTTTATTAATCGTTTATCTTTGCTTCTTTCATTTTAAACCACAGGAACATGTTTGACAAACTGAACCGTGACGCCTTTCATGTAGTTTCTTATTTTTTGTTTCAAACACTGAATGAGTCTCTTGCCAAAGACGTTTTCAGGTAGGAAAAATTATTTTGTTTTCTCTTTTAGTCATTCTCAGATTTGAAAATAGACTTCCAACTTTGGCCATTATCTTGTTTTAAATAAATGTGATAAAATTCTGGTGTGAGCCTTAGAAATGTAGTACTTAACCTTTTTATAGCTGAGTGAGGATTTGGGGGGTGCGTGCGCTTATATTAAAAGTTGCATATTTCATAAATATAGATTTTGTTCTTAACATTTGTTTCTGCTGTTTTTAATGCTCTTCTTCTGATGGGAGGAGTGAGACAGGGTCTCACTTTGTCACTCTGGCTAGCTTGGAATTCACTGTATACTGTGTAGCCCTGGCTGTCCTGAAACTCACTCTAGACCAGGCTGGAGTTAATTAATTGGAGTGATTAATCTCTTAATCACAGAGATCTGCCTGTCTCTGCCTCCCAGTGCTGGGATTAAAGACGTGTGCCACCATGCCTGGCTGAAGCCTTTTAATCCTATCATATGTGAACCTGTGGGGGGTCATTCTTATTTCAGCTACCACTAGGGGTTTCAAATAAAAATAATTTTTTATTCTGTTTTGTTTCCCCCGATTAAAAACTTTGGTGTAAAACACGAAGTTCTGAAAACTTCTGTTTTAGAACATGTAGAGACAGATATAAATGTCATTCCTGACCCCACTAAGCCCAGAACATCACTGCTAACTTTCTAGCCTTTTAGTCCTGTTTCCTGTACATGTTCTAGTTTTTTCTTTTCTTTTGTACTAGGGATAGAGTTTGCAACCCTGTGCTAGGCATGCACTCTCCTACTGAGTTATAACCTCAGCATCGGCTTCCTCCTGTGAATAGAAAACATGTTGTAAAAGTACAAACAGCTTGATTCTTTTTTAGGACTCTTTTTTTGTTATGTCTTGGGGCCGGGGCCCCCCCGACAGGGTTTCTCTGTGGCTTTAGAGCGTGTCCTGGAACTAGCTCTTGTTGACCAGGCTGGCCTTGAACTCACAAAGATCCACCTGCCTCTGCCTCCTGAGTGCTGGGATTACCATGGCCCAGCTTTTTTGGGACTCTTTATGTAGCCCTGGTTGCCCTCGTACTCCCAGAGATCCTCCTGCTTCTGCCTCCCTTCTGCAGGCATTAAGGGCATACACTACCACACTGGATAAAAGCTTGATTCTTTAAATAAGTATTTATGTCCCAATACATACTTGGGTAAAAAAGATTATTGAAGGAGTACTAGGTAAATTGTAAAGTTACTATTTTTTTCTTTTTAATGAATAGGAACTCACTATTATTCCTGGCTGGCTGATACTCTAGATTTTAACTCACAGAGCTCCTCAATTCTAGGATTAAAGGCTTGCACCAAGACTGGCTTATTTTTTGGTAAATTTCTATAATATGTAGTTATTTATAATAAACTGAACTCAGCCTACAAATATTGACCTAAGAAAAAAAGAACTATTTTCTCAGTATTTTTAGTTGAGTCAAAGAACACTAGTTTAATTAATTTTGCTTTAATGTTTCTACTGTGGGGAATAATTTTCATGTCTTTTAAATTTTGCTAAGTTTGATTTTTGGGAGGGTTCATTCGTCTACTGCTTTTTTGTTTTTAAGAGATTGCTGGCCTCCATTTGACCAAAAATATGACGTGGAGTTCCGGAAACATTGCTGTGAATGGTTAAAAGAAATTTCTGTAAGTATTTTCTTTGTAAGATAGGAGATGCAGTCTTGAAGGTTCAGATGTGCCTGCAACTCCAGTGCTTGAGAGGCAGGAGGCGCCATCAAAGTTCAAGGCCAGCCTGGGTCTTTGTGGTGGGTACCAGGCTAGCCATGGTGACATGGTGAGACTGCCTTACAAAAATAAGCAATAAAATAACCACAACAAAAATCCCTTAAGGCTGAGGATATAGCTCAGCAGGTCACTTTCCTAGCATGTGTAAGTCCTCTGTTTCCTCAGCGGCACTGTAACAAACCATCTAAACCAAACCAAGAACAACAAAACAGGCTGCTTAATTACATTATTTTTTTTGTAAAAATGAAACCTGTGTGTGTGTGTCTGTATAGGTCAGAGGTTGATTTTGGATTGTCTAACTTAATCGTTTATTTTTATTTATTGAAACTGGATATCTTTCCTGTCTCTTTTTCTCTCCCCGCCTTTTCTCTCTCTCTCTTTTTTTTATGGGGTGGGGTGTCTTTGTGTAGTGCAGGCTGATGAAGAACTTACTCTTTAGACCAGACTGGCCTTGAACTTAAAGATCTGCCTCCCTCTGCCTTCCAGGTACTAGAATTAAAGATGTGTGCCACCATTCCTGGCCAAAGCTGGTTCTCTTGCTCAGCATGGAGCTTGTCCCTTACTGTTGGTCTTGCTGGCCAGCTTGCCACTGTAAATCATGTTTCTGTTCTTCCAGAGTTCTGAGATTACAGACATATGCTATAGTCTGGCTTCTTTTTTCATTCTGGGAGTTTTATCTACTGAGCTATCTCCCTAAACCCCAAAGTGAAAGATTTTATTGTGTAACTCTGGCTGGCTTGGAACTATGTAGCTGGTCTTAAGCTCATAGAGTGCTCTGGTTAAAGCTCTGGGTGCTCAGGTTAAAGGCCTTTATTTCTCTCCCTACCTAGCACTGGGGTTATGTGTGTAACACTGTACCCGACTTTTTCAGGTTTCCAAAATGGTAGGTAGGAGAGTGGGTTGGAGTACTTATGTTCTCTCTACCCCCCCCCCCCCTTTTTGGTGTTTTGAGGCAGGGTTTCTCTGTAACAGCCGTGGCTGTCCTAGAACTAGCTTTTGTAGACCAGGTGGGCCTTGAACTCACAAAGATCCACCTGTTTCTGTCTTCCGAGTATTGGAATTAAAGGTGTGCACTATCACCACCCGACTGCTTTGTTTTCTGACTTTTCTCTGTTCCACTATGGAAATTGATCTTTTTAAGCCACTATACCATGAAGTGGGTGTGTTGATGGTTTACTGTCCTACTGTGAGGAACTCATGTGACCCACTGCAAGATTATCACACACCTTAAAAAAAAATAGAGTGATGGGGCTGGAGGAATGGCTCAGTGGTTAAGAGAACCCAGTGGTTCCAGAGAACACAGGTTCAATTACATGGCAGATCACAAGCCCCAGTTCCAGTAAGCTGCAGTTCTAGGGTATCTGATGCCCACTTCTGACCTTAGCTCCCCGTGAATGTACTTAGTATACGGACATACATGCAGGCAAAATACCCAGACATAATAAAATTTACAAAAATAGTGATTAAAAATGTGACAGTTATTGTTGGTTGAATTGTCTCATGTCTTTTCTTAGGCTGAATATGGAAGAAGTTTTCCTCAGGTTGTTGGCTCACTGTTTCTTTCTCCTGGTGGTCCTAAGTTTATTCATCTGATGTATCATTTTGCAAGATATGTTGCAATCAAATATATTAAAATACAATCAAATGGTAAGTTTACTTATACTTTTCTTTATTCTTGAATTATTATTGTTCATAATTTTAAAATCAAGATCAAATTAAACCATTTGCCTGAAAAAGCAAATGGTTAGTTAATATTTTACTCATCTATGGTTGGAAACTTTATATAATGAACTTGTTAATATTTGTGTTACTTTATTATGTTCTGGTGCAGGGGTTGGGGCACGTTTTCCATAGGAAAGCTAGATAAGTATTTTAGGTTTTATGGACCACTTAATATTGTTCTGTTTTTACAACCCTTTAGAAATACAGGGACTGCCAGCGTGGTAGCACATGCGTATAATCCTAGCACTTGGAGGTGGAGGCAGGTTGAACAGACATGTAAGCTAACCTGTGCTAAATAGTAAGTTCCAGGCAAACCTGCACTACCTAGTGAGAACCTGCCTTTTAAAATATTGTAGAAATCCATTCTTAGCTTGCTTGGCTTAAAGATAACCATTGAGACAAATCAGGCCTCTAATCCAGTGTGCTGAATATTGTTAGCAGTTTAGTTCAGTTACTGGCATTGGCTGATAATTTCTATTTCAAAATTTTTTGATTCATTAGCTCATAAAAATCAAATAAATGATTTCTTAGAACTAATAAAAATGATTAGTATTTGTAGTTTATTAACTATGGTGCTGTTTTATTTTGATCATAAAGTATGGACAGGTATAAGGCAAAAGTGTTGAAGTGTTAAATCCTGCCTGTCTTCTGGTTTCTGACATGACTCATTTTGAATAGTCATTTAGTACACTCTATTAAAAATCAGAATATGAGAGCTCACCCTGTTTTTTTAAACTTTGATGTTCTCTCTCTCTCTCTCTCTGTTGGTTTTTTTTTCTTTTCTTTTCTTTTTTTTTTTTGGTGATACGACCTCTCTACCTAACTCTGGCTGTCATGGAACTCACTGTAGATCAGGCTGGCCTCAAACTCCTAAGTGCTGGGACTAGTGTGTATGACCAGGCTTAGCAATTTTGATGTTTTCAGTTGTATAGACAACAGTGTAATCAGTAATACAAGCAAATATTCTTTCTTCTTCCCTTCTTTTCTAGTCTTTATCTCACTTCTACTGGGATTACAGACATGTGTTACTTGGACCAGCAATTTTTTTTGTTGTTTTAAAAAAAAAGAAAATCAAACCAGACTGGAGAGATGGCTCAGCTGTTAAAGGCTAGACTAACAATCCAATATATAAATATATCATATATGGACAAGCAGTCATGTGCACACACACCCATACACCTAAATAATAAATAGATCTAGGAATGGTGATTTATGCCTGTCATCTAAATTCTAGAAGACTGAGGCAGGAGGATTTCAAGTTGAGGGCCAACTTGGGCTGCATAGTGAGTTTAGGCCTTCTTCATGGGTTACATGGGAGACCAAGTTTGGTGTGCTAACACTTGGGAGACTGAGCCAGTAATATTGCTAGTTTGAGGTCAACCTGGGGCTACAATGTAAATTCCAGGCCAGTTTGGGCTCATAGTGAGAGTGTCTAAAAAACACTATCCAAACCAAATAAAAAATGAGCGAAGCTCATAAATGTGACTATAGCCCTGGTTTTGGATTTTTTTTCCACTTGGAAATCATTGGGTGTCAGTTGATAGACCTTTCTTGTTTCTTTTTTAGAACTCCTTTTTATTAAACTGAACAAATCACCCTAATTTGTTTACGTAACCTACAGCTGAGAAACATTTGGCTAACCTTATAAGAACAGTGCTACGACCCAAACTTTATGTGTGTGCATTTACTGCTCTTTCCAGGTATGATGTTTTCAAACATCCATGAGCATGCTCTATAAATATTTATATATTTTAAATCTAATGCAATATTAGCATTGTGCCTCTTTTTCTGCAAATAGGTGATTTATCCAATTATATGTAATGCAAGCTGTTTTATATAAAATATGTATGTTTGGATTTTTCATTGTTTTGTTTGGAATAACCCTGGCTGACCTTAGTCTTGCTCTGTGGCCAAGACTGGCCTTGATCTCCTGATCTCCTCCTACCTCCCAAGTACCAGGATCATAGATGTGTACCACCATACTCAGCTAAGTATTTGGGTTTAATAAGAATTTATTTTTTATTTGGGTTTCTGAATATAACTTCTGATTTAAAGTAGTTTTAGTCAAGATTTTAAATGTCTAGGTGACTTCTGAATCCAGTGAACTAATTCTCTTTAAATAATTAGACATTGTGGAGGTTTCTGCGCAGCTTGCTGGGATGTGGATATGTTGTGCTTTTTTGTTTGTTTGTTTGTTTTTCCAAGACAGGGTTTCCCCGTGTAACAGTCCTGGCTGTCCTGCCTGGAGCTCACTTTGTAGTCCAGGTTGGCCTTGAGTCCACAGAGAGCCGCCTGCCTCTGCCTCCTGAGTGCTGGGATTAAAGGCGTGCACCACCACCTTCCACCTGGTAAATTTTAAGTGCAGTGTAGAGACCCTATTTGGGAGAATATCCTTATTTTTTATTATTGATCTGTCTTTACAGTAGGTTTTATAGATAAAAGCCTGACCTCTGATATGTTTGTATGGATTCTTCCTCATTGATCAACAGTAGCAAAGTGAAAAGTTGCTTACAAAATGGCACAGGTTTATTTTATTTTTTTCTCTCGTTTGTTTTACTGAAAAAACAAGCTCATGGTGATGTTGTTTGCAATCTTGTCTTCCTTATAGATTCTCTGCGTTTTGCAGAAACATTTAATGCAAAGCAACAGGATATGTACAAGTGCATTGCCAGATGCCACGTAGCACGTAACAGATTTTTACAAATTTTGCGAAGAGAACATTATGTTACCCAAAAATTCCAGGAAAATGCACAGTAAGTCATATTTTAAAGTTAGTAAATAGTTTTCTTTTTTAAAAAAAATACCAATATAAACAAGCCTAGACATGATCTATGCCTACTTCAAATTCTTGGTTTCTAATATTGCATTTTAGTTACACAATTTTTGAAATTATTTTTACTTTATGTGTTTGGCTGCTTTGCTTGCATGTATGTCTGTACATCACATGTACCTGCTGCCCACAGAGGCCAGAAGAGGGAGTTATAGACAGTTCTGAGTCACTATGTGGGTGCGGAGCCACTATGTGGGTGCTAGGAGTTGAACCAGAGTCCTTGAAGGGCTGCAAGTGTTCTCATTTGCTTAGCCATCTCTTTGGTCATGGAGTTGTAGTTTTAAGTTCTAATTGTGCTATTCATTCTGTAAATTTTTCCATGTTTCTGTTCTGTGTTTAATGTTTATTTCATAGTTTGAATAGATATTTTGTACCTCCCAGCAAGTACTCCATATTAGTCATTTTATAGCACATTCATTCATTCATTCATTCATTCATTGTTACTTGAGCCTTGCCATATAGACTGTGTTTCTTGCCATATGAGCTGTGTTTCTCTTCTACATCTGAGGATTGACGTGTGGCATACTCTAGTTTATAGTATTTATTTACTGTATGTGTGTTTATCTGTTCAACAAATTCTTTTTTCTGTGCACTGGTGCCACAGCATGAAATGAGACAGGCAAGACTGTCACGGAATAGTTTGTCTTTTTACTTTTACATGTAAAAATAAACATGTATTGTTTGTATACTCTATATTGTGCAAGTGGAAGTCAGAGGACAACTTTTGAGTTGAGTCTCACCTTCTGCTGTATGGTTTTGGGGATGGAACGCAGGATGTCAGGCTTGGAGTCAAGTGCTTTTCCCATTGAATCATCTTGCCGGTCTCTTTAGTTTTTATTTTTAAAACATTGCAGTAAAGATAAGAATAAAGAAAGCAAACAAGTGGCTCATACCAGTTCATTACAGTGGAAATGTTCTTTTCTGTTTTTTTTCTTGCAGTTTGTCTATTAAGCAGATGCGAAATTTGAGATCAGAATACATGACCCTACAAAATCAAATTAAAAGGCAAGTGACTTTTAGAGCCGGAATTTATCTCACACAGAGTTTAGATCTTGAATTATGAATGATAAACTACTAAAAATAGAAATAGAGTAAATGTCATTAGCCAGTTGATGTTAGAACTAGAGCATGGTTTTTCCCTCTCACTTTAATAAAGTTCTTAAAAATTACTGCTTTGAACTTGAGTTCTTTTGTTTTTGAGACATAATCTGTCAATGTATGTAGCTGTGTCTGCTCTGGGACTATATATAGATCAGGCTAGCTTTGAACTCAGATCTGTCTGCCTCTGCCTACGAGCATTAGGATTACAGGGGTGTACCACCACACCCAGCTGAGAGCTTCGTTATTATTGTTGTTGTTATTTTTAACTGAAATACCTGTTTGTAGATTTGCAGACCAGTTTTTTTGGATGTGAAATTACCATGTCAATTTTTTAATGAGTAATTTGTTTGTTTAATTTTTTTATTAGAATGAATCCTTGTGATGACCAGAGTAATATACAAGAGAAAATTCAAAAGGTGAGATACATTTTTTTAAATAGCAGAGAGTATGTTTACTGTGAAAGTTTCTATAGGGCATTAATGTTAGCATTTTTCTAGATCAGTGTGTTTCAGAGACCTGACAGTGTAATTCCAAATGAGAAGCAGCAACAGAGGACATCTATAACAACTTCAGTTTTGTTTAAAAATATAATTTATGTATATACTTATCCACACATGGGGAGATAACAATGTTAATAATAGGGCATTGGTGAAAAGGTTTTGTTTTCTGTGTTCTAAGTTTTCTGTAATGAACCTTTAGCATATGAAGGCAAAATGTTACTTTAAAAAGAGCAGGAGACATGGCTCAGTGGCTGCTCTTCTGGAGGACCCAGGTTTGGTTTCTGGCACCCATATAGCCTCTCAGTCACCTGTAACTCCTGGGAGATCTGATGTCCTTTTCTGGCTTTAACTAGCAGTGGGTGGATCTGGCACACACACACACACACACATATGTGCAGGCAGAACATCAGACACATAAAATAATAATAATAATAAAATGTTAAAAAGCAGGAAATTTGTTATTTTAAAAAACATCTCATTGCTTTCAAAAGAAACTAAGTTCATAATGTCTACACTTACCTTCACTCTGAAAAGAATGGGAGTGTTTCTCATTTGCTTTTGTGAGATTTTTTTCTCATTGAATCCTGCTTATTTACTTCATCTTTTATTTCTCTCTCTCATTTTGAGACAGGGTCTGGATACATATCCCTGGCTGTCTTGGAAGTCAGTCCAGCTAGCCTAGATCTCACAGAGCTCTGTCTGCCTCGCCATTGAGTGGTTGGCTTAAAGGTGTGTGCAACCACCACATACAGCATTTATTTTCCTCCTTTTTGAGCTTGCCATATGTAATACAATTTTTGAATGGTAGTATAAAGATTTCTTAGGTTTGTTTGAAAATTAAATTAGCTATATTTTCCCTAAGAAATTCTTTAAGTCAGCCCTGGTGGCACAAGTCTTTAATCCTAGCACTCGGGAAGCAGAGGCAAGCTGATCTCTTGAGTTGAAGGCATGGTCTAATCTGGTTCTTTGCCAGCCAAAGTTACGTAGTGAGAACCTGTCTCAAGTCCCTTCCTCCCAAAAAACATTTTTCAAGCCCCTTTGGAGATAATATCAGTGCTTTAAATGGTTAGAATGCCATCACTTAATTTTCTTTTCAGCTGTATTTCCTATTGTTAGAAGGGGGTGAACAAATACTTATGCCAGCATTTTCTTATAGTACATATATGTTATTTGTTTGTTTGTTTATTATGTGTGCATTGTTCTGTCTGCATGTATGTACCAGATCTCATTAAGATGGTTGTGAGCCACCATGTGTGTGCTGGGAATTGAACTTGGGATATCTGTAAGAGCAACTCTTAACCTCTGAGCCATCTCTCCAACCTCCTATAGTACATATATGTTATGTGTGGATTTCTTATTTTGTTTTGTTTTCAAAGGTTCGGTCTTTGTGGACTTTAGTGAATGAGACACTCCTGTTTTTGGAAAAGGAGAGAGAAGTTGTTAGTTCACTCTTCAGTGTTGATAACCAATGTGTTTTGGATGGAACTAATGTTACAGTTGATATATCAAGACTCTTACTTGACAGAATCGAGGAGCAGATGTGTCAGGTAAACTTTGCTGTTAAGGAAATGTGTTAGAACAGTGTCACTGCTTTTTATATTTCCTGTCAACTCTGCTTTCCCACTGCTTCCAGCATTTGTGTTCTTTATCATCTCTAGTGAAGCCTTCGTAGAGGTCCTGTCAAAGGTATGTGTATTTGGATCCATTGCTTTCGTTATCTCTTCATTGTACAGTTTTGTGTAGCATGGAGAGCTTAAGATTGCTTAGTATGAAGATAGTACTGTTTTGTTCTTTACATTTGTATTTACACACACACACACACACACACACACACACACACACACACACACATTCACACATGTGTGTATTTGGTGGTCAGAGGACCACCAAATGGTGAGTCTATTCTCTTCTTCGTTTGTGTCCTGAGGTCGAACTCAGCTTGACTGTATTGGTGTCAATGTCTTTATCCCCTGAGCCATTTCAACTCCCTCTGAATTAATTCTTTATAAATTTCCCCCTTCCTCAGCCTCATTAGTGCTGGGATTGTAGGCCCCACCAAGCCCAGCTCTCTTTGTGGTTTTTGTTGTTGTTTTAAGATGGGATCTGCTATGTAGTTCTGGTAGACTACATTTGTAGACCTGGTCTGTCTCTGTCTTCCAAGTGCTGGGGTTAAAGGTGTGCATCACCATGCTTGGTTTCCAGGTGACCTTTTATAAAGTCTGTATGCTCTGTCTTTTTCTTTTTTTTTCTCTTAAACTCATCTATATTTATCTTTAAGCAGAATGTGATTTGGGCACTCTCTTTTCATTCACAAGCTTTGCTGAGTCTTAGGAAGGGTTTTGTTCTTCAGTAATTTGGAAAACAAGCCATGGGGAAAATTTGTGGTAGGTTCTCTTTGTAGTCCTACCTATCCTGGAACTTGCTATGTAGACCATGCTGGCCTCAAACTCCATCTGCCTGCCTTTGTTTGACTCCTGAGTGCTGGGATTAAAGGTGTGCACCACCATGCCTGGCCTTCCCCATACACACACACAGTTTTCTTTCTGTCACTACAGGATTACCTACATGCCATGACTTCAACAGCTTCCTTCCTATCAATAATTTTGTATTTATAATCTTTCTTCTTTAGCCAAAGTACCAACCATCTACTATCTATGTATTTCTGTCTTTATATGGAGCATTTTAATTGTATGACTTACTTATTTTTTCCTTCGTAAGTACAGTTTATTTAGTATCTACCACCTACTTGGTATTGATTGTAGTATATAGAAGTTATATGGATAAAATATTTTGTGAAGAGATTTCACTTTGGGTGCAATATATGTGCATCAAACTCATAGTATGTAACACTCTGGCTGTATAAATTCAAATTTCTATAGGGTGTAGGCAGGTATCAGAAAAGACATTAAGGTCGGGTAGTGGTGGCGCACGCCTTTAATCCCAGCACTTAGGAGGCAGAGGCAGGTGGATCTCTGTAAGTTCGAGACCAGCCTGGTCTACAAGAGCGAGTTTCAGGACAGGCACCAAAGCTACAGAGAAACCCTGTTTTAAAAAACAAAACAAAAAAAGAAAAGACATTATGTTTAAGAATACAGATAAGGCAGGAAGTGGTCATGTCTTTAGAGAATATCACTATTAATTTTTTTTTTTTTTGAGGTAGGGTCTCACTGTGTAACTCTGGCTAGCTTAGAAGTCATACCAGGCTGGCCTCAAATTCATAGAGATCCACCTGCCCCTGCTTCCTGAGTGTTGGAATTAAAAGTGTGTAACACCATGCCTGTTTTTTGAGACAGGGTCTCTCAGAGTGACCAGGGATTCACTGATTAGGCTGGCTGTCCAGTGAGTTCTAAGGATCTTCCTGTCTTCATTTGCATTGCTGGGATTACAAGCACTTGCCCAATCTCACTTTTTTTTGTGGTAATAGGGACCTCATACTTGGATGACGAATTCTTTTTCAGAAAGAAAGACTGAATTCTTTCTCCAGCCTCCTCATTTTCTTCCTCTTTGTTTCTGTGTTTTTTTTCTTCCTTTTGTGTATGTGCATGCACTTCTGTGTGTGTATGAGTGCTCTCAGGTGTGCAAGCACATGGAAGCCAGAGGACAGTTTCAGGTGTCTTTTCTTGTTTTTCAGGTGATAATCCACCTTTTTTTTTTTTCTTTTGAGACAGGTTCTTTTACTGACGTGCAACTCAAGTAAGCTGGGCTAGCTGACATTTTTGCAACTTTTGTTAAAATAAATTTGTCAGTGAAAGGCAGAGACAGGCAGAGTGCAGGGCTAGCCTAGTTGACATAGTGAGTTCTAACCCATCTGGGCTACATAGTAAGAACCTGTCTCAAAGGAAAAAAAACTGATCCCTTTTGCAAATTTGCCTTCTCATTAGACTTTTTTATAAAAAGACTGATTCATTTTACTTTTTATGTGAATGAGTGTGTGTGTACACATGTACATCTGTACACACTGCATGTGCACCTGGTGCCCAAAAGTGCCAGAAGAGGGAGGCATTTGGTTCACTGGACCTAGAGGTAGAGACAGTAGTAAGTTGCCATGTGGGTTCTGGGAACTGAACTCGAGTCCCACTAGAGCACCAGTTGATCCTTTTGGTTTTTTTCGAGACAGGGTTTCTCTGTGGCTTTGGAGCCTGTCCTGGAACTAGCTCTTGTAGACCAGGCTGGTCTCAAACTCACAAAGATCTGCCTGTCTCTGCCTCCCGAGTGCTGGGATTAAAGGCATGCGCCATCTGTTTGATTTTATTTTCTGCTAGATTTTAGCGTTTTGCATGATGCAAAAATGTGTGAATTCTTTGACAATTTTTATTGGATTGAAATTATTTCCATAGTTTTATGTTTGGGTGGTGATCAATTTATCCCTTAAGGTATGATACTATATTATAGTAAAAAGCATATAAGTATTGCCAAAAGAACCTACAGATCTTTGCTTTTTTTCCCCTTCTAAATCTTTAGTTGCAGATGAGAAATGTTTATGAGGCTGGAAAGTTGAACCTCTTAACCATTATTCAGTTGTTAAATGAAGTCTTGAAAGTAATGACATATGAACATTGTAAGGCTGACCAAGCAAGACTGATACTAGACCTTCACTACCTTGAAAAAGAAGCTAAATTACAGAGGGAAAGATTATCAGATATGAAACATATGAGGTCAGAAAAATTTTGTTATTTTACTATGGGGTGGGTAGGGTGGTTTTCCCAGCAGAAATTGTGTATAATTTTTAAACTTTGGCATGTAAGTTAAATACTGGTATTTGGGCCTGAGACATGTCTCAGCAGTTAAGAACACTTCCAGATGTCCTGTCTTAAATTCCCAGCAACTACATGGTGGCTCATAACTATATGTAATGAGATCTGGTGCCCTCTTCTGCCCTCAGGCATACATGCAGACAGAACACTGTATATATAGTAAATCTTATAAAAAGAAAAGAAATACTGGTATTCAAGAGTCTTATGTAAGGAATTTCCAGAAAGATATGTGAAGTAAAAGGACAAGTAATGTAGTTTTTATTTTTATTTTTGGAATAAATTATTTGTCTTATGATAATTCTTTTTGTTTTTGAGACAGTCTCACTTTTTAGACCTGATTGGCTTATACCTCACTATGTAGAACAGGTTAATCTTGAACTCATACGTGGTGGCACACAGCTATAGTCATAGTACTTGGGAGGCTGAGGCATGAAGATTGTGAGTTTGGGGCCAGCCTACTCTCTATAGTGAGTTCCCCTGAAAAATTGAGCATGAGAAAAGTTCCTCATTTGAGTGGGAAGATCATGAGCTCGGCTCCCTGTAGAAGTTGATGGAGTGGGATTCAGAGCGAGGGTTAGAGCTGGGGAAATAATGCCCTGTGGCAAAAGCCTGTGATCCCAGCTTTGGGAGGCCCAGGCAGGAGGTTGTGGAGTCCAGGGACATCTTCTGTTAAGTAGCCTAGGCCAGTCTACTGTATGTGACCCAGTCTCAAAAAGTTCGTTTTTAAAATAAGTGGAGTAGTAGATGTATGGTTGCTTTTTTGTTTTAAAATGAGAAAAAAATATATTTTAAATTCTGAAGAGTCACTTGTGAGAGTTAATTCAATTTATATGTAGTTTAATGGTTAATTTTTTATATTCTCTTTCCTAATACTATTTTCTTAAATTGTGCTATATTTTTATTTGTCCTTCAAATACAGTTATTTCTTATGATATCATAGGCATAAAATAAAAGAGAACGTCACTGCAATAAGACATTCTGTCTTTGAAAAGGAAGGAAAATGGCATCAGAAGTGGAAAGAATTTCTTGGTCTGTCTCCTTTTGGTGTAATTAAAGGCGGGTCTTCAGTAAGTACTGTAGATTTGGAGAAGAGTTTAATTTTGGCAATTCTCTTTGTCTTTAACAGTCTTTTAATTTATGTTACAGTAACCTAAAAATGTGTGTATGTGTATTTATTGTGTTTACATTGAAGTTGAAAGTTTTTTTTTAATAATTGTATGTAATTATTATATGTTTGATGGAGCTGGGGCAACACATATGTGCCAAGGTGCACATACAGAGGGCATGGGGTGACTTTATGGTTCAGTTCTTCCCAGTCCTTTTTGCTTGTGTTCCTGGAATGGAAGTCAGGCCCTCAGGCTTGCCTGACAAGTGCTTTTACCTGCAGGTATTGCATCAGTCCAAATTATTATTTTTCTTTGAGGCAATTTCATGTATTTTCAGTTGGCCTTAAACTTGCTTGTGATGATGAATATGACCCAGTGATCCGCCTGCGTCTGCTCCCAAATGCTAGAATTATAAGCCTGCACCACCATGCTCGGTTCAGTGGTTTTCTTTTAGAGACAAGTATCCATTGTGCAGATATGTATCCTAGGCTGATCTGGAGCACTTGTAACCTAAGCTGTTTATTATCTGCTAGGATTATAGGTGTGTGCTACTGTGCAGTTCAAATGTTTTAACTAATTTGTATAATTTTTTCTAAGTACATAATAGTTCTTCATCAAGCTACAGTATTTATAGTTACTCATTTTAAGTTCAGAGGGTTAAAATACTATTAAATAAAATTTGAAACTTGTTTATACAAATAATATATTGTTTGCAGGGGCGGGAGAGATGATCTATCCTTAAGCCTACTGTTTTGAGTCCTAGCACCCATGTGGTGGCTCATAACCAGCTTTTTTTTTAAAAAAAAAAAAGTAGTCGCAGGGTAAATGTTTGGTAATTCATTGTTAGGAGGAAAAATCTATTTGTAGATGAACTTAGCTTTGTCGTTGTGGTTGTTTGCGAGAGTGTTAATATTGTGAATTCTGTATTTAAGGCTGTGGATCTTTTGCCTCCCATGTCTCCCCTTTCGTTTGATCCTGTGTCAGAGGAAGTATATGAAAAGAGTGTACTTTTAAAGTATCCTGCTTCACTTCCAGGTTGGTGAGCTCCCCCCAGTCCCCTTTAAAGACAGTGTCTCTTTGGTAAAGCATTGACTGACCTGGCACTTACTGTATAGACCGGGCTGGCCTGGAACTTGGAGCAGTCCTCTTGCCTCTGCCCTGAGTGCTGGGAGTATACCTGTTCACCACTGTACTTGGTTTATTATTTTTCATTGTTCATAATAGTTATTTGTATTTTTAAAATAACTTTTACATTTTTTGCATGTGTATGTACACTCAACAGTGCTTGTGTTGAGGTCACAGAACAACCAGGTTCTCTCTTTTTACCTTGTGAGACCCCAGGATCAAATTCAGATCCTGGGTAACATTTCTTTACCCTCTAAGTCATCTTGCCTGCTCTCCAGTTATTTTTACTGTGAAATGTATGTAAAATTTCTGTTTTGGTGGCAAAAATGTCATGATAAAGGATAGAATCCTATCATTTGTAAAACATGAATGTTTCAGCCTATGTGAGGATTGGGATTAAGGTGTAAGACACTAAACCTGGTGTTTTATTCATTACTGAACAGTAGTTAGCCTGGATTTAGAGTCCTGGATTGACAAATCATCTCTAGGACTTTGATGGTAAAGTCTGGTTTCCTGCTTTCTGCTACAGCTGACACATTGACTGTCTCATAGGTTACAGTTTGTGGTTGCTTATAAGGCTTCTCTTTCTATGTTGTGCAGATTAGCTGGAACGTGCCTAATGTAGGTTTGTTTTTATATGTTTGGGTGTGTATGTGTATATTCTAGAAGCTCATTATTTTCTAAGTTCAAGAAATTGTTTTCCTATGTCTTCTAATATTGCCTGCCTTTCATTCTTAAAAAGATTTTATATGTGTGTGTTTATATGTTTGCATATATGTGTGCAAACATGTGCACGAGGGTACCCATGGAGAACAGTGTCACATTTCCGTGAGCTAGACTTAAGACATTTTTGAGTTGCCTGATGCAAACTCTGATTCTGTAAGAGCAGTAAGCTGTAGTTGAACTTTTCATTGGACCTTTGGCTCTTCTGTAATGACACAGAGACTTATTATGAAAGCTTAACCGATAGCTTAGGCTTGTTCATAACTAGTTCTTAAAACTCAACCCATTTCTATTAATATATTTGCTGCCTCGTGGCTGTTACTTCTCCTGCATGCCTTGCTTGTTCTCTCTCCACATCTCTGCACTTTTTCTTCCTAAGCATCCTCTGTGCCTGGAAATCCTACGTAGCTATTGGCTGTTCAGCTTTTTTTTAAACCAATCAGAGTAACATATCTTTACACCGTGTTATCAAATATCTTCCAACAAGGTGGATGGAGTTGGTACACACCTTTAATCCCAGCACTTAGGAGGCATAGGCAGGTGGATCTCTGCGAGTTTGAGGCTAGCCTGGGCTACAGAGCAAGTTCTAGGACAGACTCCAAGGCTGCAGGGAAATCCTGTCTTGAAAAAAACTGCTGAGCTATTTCCATCTTTCATTTTTAAATCCTATCCTTATGGAATTCTGTCTTAGTTACTGTTTTTATTGCTGTAAAGAGACACTAGGACCATGGTAACTCTCGTAAAGGAAAACATTTAATGGGCTGGCTTACAGTCCATTATGGTGGTACACACAGGCATGCAGACAGGATGGTGCTCGAGCTGAGAGGCCTACATTTCCAGCCGCAGGCAACAGGAAGTGATCTGAGACTCATGACTTGAACATAGGAGACCTCAAAGCCCAGCTCCAAAGTGACACACTTCCTCCAACAAAGCCACACCTCCTACTAGTACCAGTCCCTTTGGGGGGTCATCTTCTTTCAAATACCTTCAAAATCCTATTAGAATTCTGTTTTGTCATTGTTGCTGCTCATTTTGTTTTAGGCCATGTTTAATTTGTGCCCCAGTCTTGAGCTTCAGTCTTGAGATTCTTGTGCCTCAATCTCTCAGATGTTGAGATTAGAAGTATGTACCACCACTCGTGGCTAGGACATCTAATTCTGTCTTTCATCTCTGTTAACATTTGCATATACAAATTATTCCCCCCCCCCCCCCATACAGAGCTTCTTTTGTGTAGTCCTGGCTGTCCTGGAACTTATTCTGTAGACCAGGTTGGTATCAAATTTATAGACTTGCCTGCCTTTGCCTCCTGAGTGGGATTAAAGGTGTATATTACCACCACCCAGCAAGTTGTTTGCTTCTTGTTGAAATACTTGGTTGCAGTTTTACCTTTAGTGGGTCTCTCCACATGGAGGAGTCCATGTTGGCGTAGAATTCTATGTAGCATAAGCTAATCTTGAACTCAGCTTTCTTCTTAAACATAATTTATTTTTATTTTATATGCATTGGTATTTTTCTTGCCTGCTTTTCTGTGTGTGGGTGTCAGAAGCTCTGGAACTGGAGTTACAGACATGTAGGTAGGTGCTGGGAATTGAACCTGGATCCTCTGAAAGAGCAGCCAGTGCTCTTATAACCACAGAACCATCTCTCCAGGCCTGAACTTAGCTTTTTTTTTTTTTTTTATTTATTTCTTGTGTGTACAGTATTCTGCATGTATGCTTGCAGGCCAGAAGAGGACACCAGATCTCATTATTACAGATGGTTGTGAGCCACTATGTGGTTACTGGGAACTGAACTCAGGACCTTTGGAAGAATAGTCAATGCTCTTAACCACTGAGCCTTCTCTCCAGCCCTCTTTCTTTCTTTCCTTCTTTCTTTCTTTCTTTCTTTCTTTCTTTCTTTCTTTCTTTCTTTCTTTCCTTTTTTAAGATTTATTTATTATGTATATAGTGTTCTGCCTGCAGGCCAGAAGAGGGCAACAGATCTCATTACAGATGGTTGTGAGCCACCATGTGGTTGCTGGGAATTGAACTCAGGACCTTTGGAAGAACAAGCAGCGCTCTTAACCACTGAGCCATCTCTCCAGCCCTGAACTTAGCTTTTAAGTGCTGGGATTGAGTATGAACCACCACCTTTGGTTATAAACTTTTTTGTTTGCCAGACAGGTGAGTTGTAGTTCTGTCTGCCAGTAACAGGTGATATTTATAGTTTTGTGTAGTAATTTGTTTTTATGGTGTTCTAGTTTTGTGATATTTGCATTTGCTCTTATTTGGGGAATGTTTTGTGATTTCATTTATAATCAATAGGTACAGAGGTTTTTGAAAAGGCTGAGTTGGAGCCTGGCAATGGTGGCACACCCCTTTCATCCCAGCACTTGTGAGGCAGTAGCAAGGAATCTCTGAGTTTGAGGCCAGCCTGGTCTACAGAGTGAGTTCCAGAACAGCCAGGGCTACACAGAGAAACCTGTGTTGGAAATCAAAACAAAACAAATAAGAAAGGTTGAGTTTGTATACTATGCGTACTACTGTAAGACGAAGAGAGAACCTTTACATAGCATTTGCATTGGCTTATGGAGTGATACCTTGGCTAAATGTTCAAGTATGGAAAGACTTAGGTGTTATGTGTTGAAAATGGAGGGGTTCCTGCAATATCACATCTGTAATGTAACCAGGGTTTGATTTTTCCAGGCTTCTTGCTTTTGTTTATCTCCTCCTCAGTACCATAAGCCATGCTCTTGCAAATGAAATCTGTACCTTATCTTTTTGGTGTTTTTATGTCTTGCTTTCCACTCTTAGCGGGACTGGTGTACATCTGCATCCTCCTTGCACACTTCTGGTCTACTACTGTAGCAGTAGAACAATACTTTAGTCATCACTGTCCCACACTGATGCTTGTGTCAGAGTTCTCTTCGTTTTTGCTATGTTAGTATGGTAGTTGTTGTAGGAGGCCGCCTAGACTCCTGAAATAATCACACAGAAACTATATTATTTAAGTCACTGCTTGGCTAAGCGTATTGCTAGCTAGCTCTTATATCTTTTTTAGCCCATTTCTATTTTATATTTTACCATGAGGCTCATGGCCTACTGATAACGTTCCAGCTGGCAGCTCGTGTCTACCTCTGGCAGCTCCATGGCGTCTCCTGACTCCATCGACTTTCTCCCAGCATTCAGTTTAGTTTTCCCCACCTAGCTCTACTCTGCCCTATCACAGACAAAGGCAGCTTCTTTATATGTGTTGCTTTTATTGGTTAATGAATACAGAAGGACTTCCCACACCTAGTGACATAGATTTTTAATGAGAGGATGGTGAAAAATTGTGTAGGCTGATTGATGTCACAAAAATATTGAAATATGCTAAGTATCTTTTGTTTTTCCTTGCTTAATTTGTTAGCACATGATTTATTCACTCAAAAATGAAGCATGGTTATATAACACCTCCTTTTTTTGTTTCAAGACGGGTTTTTCGTAGCCCAAGCTGGCTTCAAGCTCTCTGTATAGTAGAAGCTGGACTTGAATTACCTGCTTTTATATGCTGGGCTTGTAGAAATACAGAACCATGCTTGACTACATCAGTCATTTTTACAAAAGCCTGCTACCAGACACTTTGTCTTAACAATTTGTTCCATCAGACTTGTGGGAGTTAGTTTTCTCCTCATGTGGGTTTAGGGGAGCTAATTCAAGTGTCGGGATTGGTGGTTAGTGCCCTAACCTGCTGAGCCAACTATCTTACCTTAGATAGTTTTTTTTTTTAAACTTTCCTGTGTGATGACTGTGGGAGTGTGAGTATGGGGCAAGGTCTTGTTGCTTTTTTTTGCAATTCTTCAAGGCCAGTTGACCTGCAATCCCCCAGTTTCTCTGCCTCTGCCTCCTGTTTTCTGTAGGGGTCCCGAGGTTATAGGTACACATGGCTTGGGCTCTAGAGGGTTGAACTCAAGTCGTTGGTTTCTATGGCAGAGTTGTTTTTACCCACTGAGCTATCCCCTTGGCTGGTGTTTATATTATCTTTCTGTTTGCCTCCATTTAGAAGCTTTTCTAAACAGTTTGTCATGAATTCAATGATAGAGCACTTGTGTAACATTAACAAAGTGTGTTCGACGTTGGTTTCAGGGGGAAAGTATAGTTGTTCTACCATTTCTAGAGGTTTGAATATTAGAATACATAAACATACTAAAAATTCTTTTACACTTTCTTAGATACACATAAAGAACATAACCAAGAAAATGGTAGTGGAAGAGAAGCTGACACCCTCGGAGGTGTGTGTGATCTAGCCGGCAGGTAAAGCTTTTGGTTTTCATACTGACTATTGATTTGAATCTCATCTTAAGCAGTTTACAACTTTCTGTACTGTAGAATAGTGTGTGATTTCTTCCTCTCAACTAGACAGCGTTTCTACTTCAGACCCACACTTTGCAGAAGACATTCAGTACCTGCTGTGCCTGGGCATTTCTTTCCTCTTCTATTTTTCTGAATATTGAATTACATTATGGGGATTGTCTGAGTTTTGAAGAAAGTATAGATTTGGAAATTGCAGAAGGTAAGTTTGGGAATTTTGCCCTTTTCTTTATGTGTGTACTATTTTTGAATCACTCTTAACTATTGAATCTAAAATTTTGAGGTATTTGAGGTAATCTGGTTTGGTAGGGAACAGATTAGTGCTTTCTGCTGCAGTGGCTGAGTCTAATTTAGCTTTCGGTTGGTCCATGTTTTCTGTCTTTTTTTTTTGTCCCTTCTAATTTTCTTTTTAATTTTTTTGAGACAGGGTTTTTCTGTGTAACTTTTGGCTGTCCTGGTACTCGCATGTTGACCAGATAGTCTTGAGCTCACAGAGATTTGCACGCTTCTGCCTCCTGAGTGCTGGGATTAAAGGCGTGTGCCACCAACACCTGACGATTCATCTTTTCCTTCTTTAGCCTGCACAGCTTGCTGTTTCCATATGTTTTATAAAATTTTCTTTTTAATTTATGTTTCATTATGTTTACAATGTTTACATTGCCCGCATGTAAGTGTGTAAGTGTACTGAGTACATGCCTGGTGTCCTTGGCCAGAAGAGGGTGCCAGATTCCCTGAAACTGAAGTTATAGTTGTGAGTTGCATTGTAGGTACTAATAACCAAACACTCTGCAAGAACAGCAGTGCTCTTAGTAGGTGAGTCATCTCTCTGTCCCATATATTGAAGTTTTGTTTATGTATACAGTGTTCTGCCTGCATGTATGCCTGCAGGCCAGAAGAGGGTATTAGATCTCCTTATGGATGGTTATGAGGTACCATGTGGTTACTGGGAATAGAACTTAAGACATCTGGAAGAGCAGGCATACTCTTAACTGCTGAGCCATCTCTCCAGCCCCAAAGTTTTTTTGTTTTTATTTTCCCCCTTATCTTTTTTTTGCTTGTTTGCTTGAGGCAGGGTCTCACTGTGTAGTTCTGGCTCTCCTGGAATATAGGCTGACCTGCTGTCTCTGTGTCCTTAGTGTTAGTAGTAAAGGTCTGCATCACTATGTCGGGCTTATACTGAAGTTTTTGATATTTTATAAATAGTTATCATTCTTTAGAAAAAATATTAGAAGACACCTGATTTACTCTAATACCAAATTTGATATGAAAAACCTAAACCCATTTCATTACCACTTCCTTCAGGAATTCTATTTTCTTTATTGCCTGTTTTCTGTTATCCCATTTTAGCTCTTACAATCAATGACTGCTATAAAGTAAAATTAAACTGGTGACCAGTGAGATACCTTAGTGGATAAAGGTA